TGATGGTGGTGGTGGTGGTGGTGGTGGTGGATAATGATGGCGAGAGCAGAACGTCGCCAACGATGGGACTGATGGCTGGGAGTGCAAGGAGGGCGATTGTGAGTGGAGATGGGATGAGGATCGTTGGTGGGTGGGGTTGATTGGGTTGGGCGAGGATGTTTGCCGGCTTGGCTGCGGCGATAATGGGATGGTGAGGGGGCGGCTTGCCAATGCACAGCACAGCGTCACACGGCGGCTCAAGTCAAGCAAGTCGAGCGAGTCGAGCGATTTGCGCGGTGCGGAGCGTGAGAGAGGGCCAAACAGCGCTGCGGGAGAGCGAGGCGAGGCTGAAAAAAAAGACAGGGTGAATGCGCAGCAGCTTTAGCCGGGCGCCGGGATGTGTTGGTTGGGGGGGCGTCTGTGAAATGGCGCTTGGCTGAGTGGCTGCAGTAGTAGCAGCAGCAGCAGATCCCAACCGGACGCGATCGATGCGGCCACCCTGTGAATCGACTCCGAGGCGGCCCTCCTCCGCCCTTTTCGCCGCTGAAAACGCGCGCTCTCGACGTGACACCCTCTCCCATAAAAAAAGTTTTTTTTTAATTTCTTTTTCTTTTTTCTTTCCGCACTTGCACGGAGCGTCAACGTTGGCAGCGCGGGCCAGGCACCTGAGCCAGAGTGACAACCACTGCGAGTCGCTCCTCTATTTTGCCGACGCATCCCTTCCCACCCGTTGGCACCTTGGCCCCTCTGCTGCCGGCAAGGGAAAAAAAAATACGATTTGCTCTTTCAGTTCTTTGGCTTGGTTCAGCCTGTTCTAGCTCGATCGCTCTTGTGCCCCCCCAAGCACAAGCTCGACGTCGATCGTCTACTCGGTAAAATCGCATCCACACGCTTAAATATTAAATATAGAGCCGTCGATTGCGTCCACGAGCAACACTTTCAGAGTCGGCGGCTTGAGCTTGTCACAGCGTCGGAGTCTTGGACGATTTGCAGACCGACGAGCCATGAGGAAGCAAAAGGAAGCAGGTCACCCGACACGCGCAAGTCGGAGTGCGAGAGCCAGCTGTTGGGGATCGGCCAAAAAGGAAAACAAGCTTCAGCTCGGTACCAGCCGAGTGTGTCGAGTGGTGGGGCGAGAGGGCATTTGGCTCGTGTGGCAAAGCGAGAGTGGGCTTCGGTCGGGGCTCGGCAGACAGCGTCTCACTCGGCGCGTCTTGAGCCCATGAAGCGCACATGCCGCGGCCAACGGTCAACCGTCGACGGCCAAGGCAAGGCGAGCGGGTACGAGCCGGGCGACGGGTACAAGACCGGGACCAGCTCGCCAAGGCAGTGTCAGGTGGGGGCTTCTGCCTCAGCAGGTGGGACTGGCAATTTCGGCGTGTCTTTTTTTTTGGTTTTCGACACCGAGCTGCGACCGTGCCCACCAATCGCTACGGTCGGATGCGGACCGAGAAGAGCCGGTGGGGCCGAACGCCCATCCCACTCGCTCGCCCAAAAAAAAAAATCAAGCTGCATCGATCTAGACTTGCACCGTAGCTGAGCCTGAAGTGCACCTTGTTCGGCACGCTCTTTTCTGTTTTTCCCGCCGTCAAATGGGGGTGGTGGCCGCGGCGGTTGCAAAGCTTGACGGTGAGCCGGTTTCACTGGGTCTCAAATTCTTCGCTCCTTCGGTGCATGTCGCTGCCTTTGCATCGCTTCTTCTGCACCAATGCGTGTCACCTTCGACCCTCTCTGCATGCTAGCGGAGTTGCCGGCAATCTCTCTGCTCATCAGGTGGGGGGGGGGGG